TTCTCTTAAAGACTTGAGATTTTGTGATTCAATAGCAAAATTTAAGGAATTTAAGAAAAAGAGATTGGTCTCATGATTTACACTGGTTAGGAACAGAAAGGTTTTATATATTTGTTACTCGGTGATAAACAGTCAGTAAAGCTGACAGAAGTTTCGATTAATGGGTCATTGCATTCCAGCCCAAGTAACTGGTATCACTAACCTGATGGTCACTGGTTAGATCCTTGTCGGAATTGTGAGCACCCACTGCCGAAGAGTCCCGAATTGGGACAAAACAGCTAACTAGTGCTCACTGATTTTTAGTGACCCCTCCCCCCAAATTTGTGTTGTTTCATGAAGTAATCTTCAATGAAAGTAAAGTTTCACTGCGTAATTACTCACATAATTTTACTGAGCATCTAACTTACCTATAGCAAGTAATAATGTAAAACTACAAATATTTTCACTAAGCAATGCATGAGAAACCAAGAGTAATTATAGAAACAAATGGTGCTTTTTCTCTCACACAGACTGTTGTTTATTATGTAGTAATATTAACAGCAAATAGTGAAATACCTCAAACAAAGTCAAGAAAAGAAAGCCTAATCCAACTCATAAGTTAGTTAGTTAGCTTGCAGTTATAAGTGAAAGATATAATTGACTTTTCGGGTGGCTGTATACCGATGAAAAAGTCAACAGATACAATTAACAAGAATCTTCATAGTATGTGTAGTAAATTAAGTTTTAAGTACGTTGGTCTGCATAGGATTATTGGAGGATAAATATTTACCTTTATTATTATTATTATTATTTCCTTTAATTCCGAGAGGAACAAAGGGCTTCAGCCATGCGTCTCCATTGCGTTCGGTTCTCTGCTGTAGTTTTCACCTGGCTCCAAGTCTGCCCACACGCTTTCAATTCCTCTTCACATGATCTCCTCCAGGTCACCCTTGGACGGCCAACTCGTCGCTTCCCTTTCGGGTTCCACTCGAGCAATGGCTTGTCTAGTGATGTCACTTGCTGGTTTCCTCAGAGTGTGTCCAATCCATCTCCATTTCTTCCTGCCTATTTGTTTCACGATCGGTTCCTGGTTGGTTCGCTCCCAGAGATCTTCGTTGCTGATCCTCTCCGGCCATTTGATCTTGAGTATTGAGCGAAGGCATTTGTTAATGAAGGTCTGTAGCTTGTTTGAGCTGCTCTTTGTGACACGCCAAGTCTCTGATCCGTATAGTAGTACTGCCTTCACATTGGAGTTGAAAATCCGGATCTTATTTTGATGGTGAGTGTTGTTGACCACCACACAGACTTGAGAGTAGTGAAGGCTTGTATTGCTTTTCCGATTCTGGCTTTGATATCCTCGTCAGTTCCTCCTGTAGTTGAGACGATGCTTCCCAGGTAGGTGAAAGAAGTTGTTTCCTTCAGGTTCCTCCCATTTATGCTGATTGTTGTCGGTTGTTGCTGTTGATGTTGGCCAGGAATCTTCATTACCTCTGTTTTGTCTATGTTCACTTGAAGTCCTATCTTCGCTGCTTCTTCTGCCAATTTGTTGCTTTTCACTTGCATATCTTCCAGTTTGTGGGAAATCAGACATATATCATCGGCGAAATCCAAATCCTCCAAGGCTTTTGTGTCGGTCCATTTTATGCCTGTTCCCTCGTTGGTTGCCGTTGTCTGCCGCATTATCCAATCAACTGCAATCAGGAAGATCATTGGTGACAGTAGACAGCCTTGTCTCACTCCCGTCCTCACTTCGAAGGATTCCGTGAGCCTCCCGTTGTGGATTACTTGGCATGCAGCGTTGTCATACAGCTGTTGGATGAGATGTATAATTGTCGGCGGCACCCCGTAGTAGCGAAGTAGTTGCCAAATCACCTCTCGATCGACGCCGTCGAAGGCTTTCTCAAAATCGATGAAGTTGAGATAGAGAGGTGACTGCCATTCCAAACTTTGTTCAATGATAATCCGTAGGGTGGCGATTTGGTCAATGCATGACTTGTTCCTCCTGAATCCGGCCTGTTCCGGACGAAGTTTTTCATCTAGGGCTTGTTTAATTCTCTCCAGGATGATGCGACATAGTATCTTGCTTGGAATGGACAGAAGCATAATTCCACGCCAGTTTTTACATTGACTCAAATCTCCTTTCTTTGGCAGTTTGAATAAGTATCCGTTCTTCCAATCCTTTATAAAGGTGCTTTTAAGCCATAATAAGTTACATTAGATTCGTCTTTCCAATCAAACTATCGTCGTGTAATTAAGAAAAATAACTGGAACAATTAAATGATAAAAAGCTTCATGTGGACATTGAAGTGATACAGAACATACTTGGCCTTAGTTCTGAGTGTAAAGTATGCTACTGTTAGTCATTATTTTAGAACATTTAATGGCATTCTGCTCATTATCATTGAAATGCTTTAATTACCTATATTTTGCAGCTTGACTGGACTATTTCCAATGAACTACTTTTTCTGTTCTTCTACACGTCAGTATTATCTCATTGACTGGAATGCAGAAAGCTTAATCACTGACATTTTATACAATTCCTTGTATTTTTAAGTGAAATTTCACTGATACATTTAGGGCGGACTAGTATTTTACATCATTTGACATTGTTCTGCTATTAACAAATACACTCATTCATAAAACCACAGGTTTTATCTGTAGACAGGTGAACAGTATTACTTTACTCATGAGAAATAATGAAAACTATTACTACTTTAATGCAACACAAAGATTATTAAGTCTCCTTATAAATTTCATATTCTTAGGCAAATGAACAATATTGGAATGGAAAGCTATTGAAGACTCTATTTAAGCCACGCTGCTCATTAAAAGTTAATAGTTTATCAGTCTAAGAAGCTTCATTCAGCATAATAGGCTGTATGACAAATGTATGAACATCACCTTTTATAGTCCATATAACCATGTTAGAAACTAAAGTCTCACTGAATAATTTCAACTTATGTAACTGTTTTGAATATATTTGTGCGTTGAAGTTTTTGTAGCAATTTGGTTAAGTTTTGGGGGTGGAGTTGCTAGCATCACGCGCAACCCTCCCTCTTTATCCGGGCTTGGGACCGGCTAGAATACTAGTGACCTAGTAATCTAGGCGAGCATCAACAACAAAATTCGGATTTTCAATACAAACGTCAAGTCAGTCAGTTCTTCTATACGTATCAGAAACGTGGCGGGTCACAAAGAATGAGCATTTCCAACAGCCTGTTGCAGACCTTTATCAACAACTGTCTTCGTTCTATACTGAAGATCAGATGGCCGGAAAGAATCACCAACAAGAAACTATGGGAACAAACGAAACAAGAACAAATCGCTCAACAAATATGCAGGAGAAAGTGGAGATGGATTGGAAACTCGCTGAGGAGGCCGTTGGATGACATCGCGTGTCAGGCCAGTGCTCGAGTGGAACCCGAAAGGGAAGCGGTGAGTGAGGCGTCCAAGGGTGACATGGAGGAGATCGTGTGAAGAGGAGTTGAAACAGTATGAATTAACATGGATGCAAGTCTAAAGTACAGCAGAAGACTGAAGCAAGTGGAGACGTGTAGTTGAAGCCCTATGTTCCACTAGGAACTCAAGGGAACAATAATATATATAATAATAATATGTAACTGTTTATTTATATAAAAAAGAAGTACTTTTCAAACATTTCAATTACCTTTTTCGAGAATTAGTTTGTAGGGAATCTATTTGTTTCAGGTTAGATCACGGATTGATAGTAGTCAAGGAACCACTGAAAACCAGGGAGTGCTGGATAGCTGTTTCAGCTTAGTTTGGGACTCGTCTGCAGTACTCACCCACTGGCTTTCAAACCCAGGACCTTCTGGTTACACTGCAAGCTCGTATACCATTCAGTCCCTGGGACCCGATTCAATGGCTTATGAATTCTAACTTCTGCCAATTCGTGATTTAGCGCGACCCCAACCATTGTCGTTGGTGGGACATCCATGCACATACGTGACATCTAACTGGACCTCACTAGTCACGACTTCTCACTAGGACTCCAGGAAACTCCATCCTGTAGCAAGTCACTAGCGAGCATCAGATTAATTTTCTATAGTTTGCTTTGTAGGGTTTAATTATGTTTTTACGAGTTGATCACGGACTGATATCAGTTAGAGAGTCATTGGAAAACCTGGGAGTACTGGACAGCTGTTTCATTCTAGTTTGTGAATCATAGGCAGTACTCACCCACTGGGTTTCAAACCCAGGACCTTCCGGTTACAATGCAAGCTCGTAGATCACTCAGTCATTGGGACCCAATTCAATGGCCCATGAATTCTAACTTCTACCACTTCGTTATTTTAGCGCGACAACCAACCAGTGCGATTGGCTGCAGCTCCATCCTCACTCATAACTGGTAGAAGTTAGAATTCATGGGCCATTGAATTGGGTCTCAGTCACTGAATGGTCTACGAGCTTGCCTGGTAACAGGAAGGTCCTGGGTTCTAAATCCAGTGTGCGTACTACCGATGAGTCCCAAACTAGGTTGAAACAGCTGTCCAGTATTCCTTGGTTTTCAATTCTTCTCTGACTGACATCAATCCGTGGTCCAACCTGAAACTTCAGTTATCGTGGAATGACAGATACAACGGCTTTTGACAAACTGAAAATCACCTCACTGGAAGCTCTTTTTCATCAAAAAGTATTAAAATCGAATTAAGAGTAATTATAGGCTAGTTGGTATGCTATTTGCTTGTGGATCGATTTCCCTTTTTACTAGATAGACAATATGTTATTAACATTAACATGTCTAGTTTAAGAGTAGTAATATGAATAATAACGGCAAAGATAATAACACAACTGTTTGTTGTATTGTCTGTATACATCCATTAACTTCATAAAAAGGGTCATATATTAATTATGAATACTGAAAAGATAAGTAATGCTTCTCTGGATTTATCACAGTAGACTTGTTTAAAACAAAGTTAAACAAATAAACAATGGAGAATAATAAAAGGCATTCTGAGAATATAATTAAGGGAATTAGGCATAGTCAATAATTAACTCACTGTTTCATAGATATTCCTTCACGAATTCTGTAAAAGAAAAGAATTCGGAAAATTATTAATTCAAGATTTGTACATATTATTATCATTATTAATAATAAAGTGATTAATCATATTAATCATATAACAAACATATATCATTTTCACAGTAAGTAATTCAGACAGTGATACACAGAATGGTCTCGTGAACATTGAACACCTAGATTTTGAATACATCTATAATTGAAAGGTGTTTGTATGTAAGTATATGCATACATATATATCGTTTAGTCTAGCAGTACCTGATGAAATCAGTCACTTCTTAGCCTGAAAATATTTATTTACTATATTAGACTTTACATGATAGACAAACGTCGAAATGTAACTGAGGTGAGATTATTAATATTATTATGACTATCAGCGAAATAGTGTATCTGGATTTTGTAATGAAAAATAATGATTACCGACTGATATTAATCATTAGCAATTTGCCTTGACATTAAGTTTTAAAAAGTGTACAAGTATTTTGGACTTTATACTCATAAATCTACATCGAAGTATAGACGTATAAAGTGTGAAGAGATTGTCTGTGAAAAAAACAACAACATCGAAGGTAATTGACTGCTGATAAGATATACCATTGAAAACAAAATTCAACATTGAATAGAAAACACATGCACTAATAACAATACATTTTTTGTCTGAAGATAATATGCCTACAGGATGATGTTTGGAAGAAAACAGCTAAAATAATCAGAGTAGAACATTTAACATTCAGCGAAAGGTTGGTGATAACGTCATACTACATTAGTAGGGAGATGTCATGAAGCTAAGCTATTTCCCTCCTTCAGTCAGTTCACTAGCTGATTCATTTGCTTGTGTACATCAACATACGTGTTAAATCAGGTGAATAGGATAAAGACTCATAGCAGATATTATGAATACTTCTCAAAAGGTCAAGGTTTAAGAGATTGCGTATTTCAAAAGTGCTGTTAGCAAATAGGTCATAAATGATTATCGATTTAATCAAAAGACAATAGTTGGAGATGTTTTGCTACTTAATTTGTATCTATTCTGACAATGTAATTTATATTAACTTCATTTATTCAGTATTAGTTTCTATATGAAAACCGATATTTTACCTAGTGATTAGACATGACTGTGAGTAGGGAATTGTGCTCAAACGTTCATCCACTGAATAATACTTTAGTAAAGTATACTTTAATAAACAAACAGGCTAACACGGAATTATACTGTACCACTATATTAACTTAATCAATTCCACTGAAATATTTGCTTTAACTGAAGCTATTCTTTGCAATAAGTTTTAACATAAACCATTCCAAGCCTACTTATTGCATTCACCAAGGTTAAAAAATGTTTAGCTCAATTTGGTCTTTTCGCCATTCCCCGAGTTTGTTACACTTTAACGACGTTTGCTAAATCGACGGGGTCGTTATACACAGCTCAGCTTCACAATTAAGTGGCTTACACCAATTTTGTAAGTCCATTTGCCAGTTATCAATTTCATTCTAAGGTACCCAATATTGTCACTTCACTACGAAACTGACCAGCTTAACCCTGTTTATTAACTTCAATCCAATGTATTATCTAATATGTTTTCCATTATATTGCAGCTGACAGGAAGTGATGAAATAGTCTAATGGGTTCATGTTATCCTACTTCACTATGCCTTTATTTCACTTTTGCATGTTGGATAGAAAATGGTGTTTTTTTTAACAAAATAGATATATTATACAAAAAGAATCTTCATGCCAAAATAAACGAGTAGAAGAAAGAATTTCAAAATATGATTGATGTACGTAAGGTTTGCATAAAACTATTATGAGCTACAATCATTCTTAGATATACAGGAATTCGTTCCAAAGGATTGTAATGTGAAAAAAAGCAACTGTCAATATCCAAGTTATACAGCAAATGATCAAAATAAAATCATTACACGATAACTAATTTGGTATTTTACCATTTATTTTAGTATACACACGGACAATTTAAGCTGAAACCTAAGAAGGCATAACTTCATTGCAATACACTTGCGTTCACTGAAAAAAGACGTAATTTGGCTCAGTCACAGCAGTGTTTAGTATTTAGTCAAGTTAGATTATCTATTAATATCAACTACTGAATCTTTAAGTAGTATGTTTAAATGCATTAGATTAGAGAATTAAAATAGTTCATTACTACACAAAAGCAGGTTTAGTGGTGTTTTTAAATTTTCATGTCTAGAATTTTCTTCTCTGCTTTGAAGCACTTCCAAGTATACACATCATTCATTTTTCTAGATAATAGTGATTAATTCTTGTAATTTATTATGTTTTGAATCATATTTTCAGAAGCATAATTAATTTAACGGAGAAAATGTGTAAATAAAATGACTTGAATGCACGTAAAACTGTTATTTTACCCCCTGTGACCTATATCTTTTCTCCGAGAAATTTCCTGCCTAATCGTAAAATTATTCAGTCGCCATAGTCATTATTAGGAAAGTGAAAAAACGTAAAATGTCTGGTCTTTAAAGCTACTGTTCAGTATAGAGTGTTTCTTTATGTTTACTGGAAGTCTGGTCACTAAAACGAACTCATTAATTCAGTCTTTTGATGCGCTTAAAAATATGAAGAATTCATTCAAGAATTTTGTAATTATGATGAGATTGAGCTACACGTTATTGAAATTGAACGAGTTTATTTGTTTATAACTTCTATGCTATTCAACAGACGTGAATATCATGCAGGATGGACATAGACTCTTGTGCAAAGAAGGTAAGCAAGTCGATTAGGTTTTAAATCTAGAGTGACTTAGGTGGTCAGGATACAAGTTATGTAAATACAGATGTTGCTTTTCTCGATGAGGAATACAATATCACTGAAAGCAAATTATGAGTAGTTGGAAAAAAACTTAACATCAATTCACGAAGTCATTGATTGTTGGTCTGAGACATTTACTTTGGTGTTGACAACCAGATGGAGGACGTCTGGAGTTCGTAGTCTTTCTGATGCACATTAAAATTGGTTATTACTGGTACTGAAACTACTGTGACTTTCCTGTAAAGGTAATTCATCTTGATTACCGTAGAACTATTCTGGTTGTAAAATGATCTACCGAAATTATGTCAAAATAAGGGTAATCTGTTTGAAATACTCAATAACTCGAAGATACTATTGTCTCTCATATAAAGATCACAAAGACTAGAGATTTATAATAAACTAAGAGAACCTAAAAACTACTAGTCAGACAAAATAATGGAACATGTAGCCAAATACCCTAGAAATGTATTCTTGAATTCAAAGTGTAAACAGAACTTTAATATACACATGTGTTGAACATTTATAAGGCTGTACAAATTACATAGATTGACACCTAACATACAATAAAACCATCATAACCTCATCAATATCATTATTACCATGTTTAGTATGAAATGTATATATCAGTAGATAAATAATCAAACAAGTAACTGAATGCATGAATGAATGATTGAGTGAATACTTCTCATTCATTGGTTTGAATGAACACTTTAATCCATTGTTTATATATATACATATATATGAACAATACAACACTATAGCACTGCATGGAAAAACCATCTTATTGATTAGTTGTCTCGAATTCATTTTCAAATAAATATTCTATATTATTACTGCAAAATAGCTGCGCATATACGGTAAGATGAAACCTGAACAATATTCGTCCAGTGCGTAGTTATATATAAGCAAGAGAATAACGGATTGTATGGAGATCGCAATGAAGAGAAAATGTCAAGCGAAAAATTGTTTTCACTCAAACAAACCATAGCATTTTTTTCTCAAATTTATGTAGTTGGCATAAATTATTCTCATTTTTCAAGTTGAATTCATCCCACTAATAATTGCGATATGAAATATAAAACGCCTGTAAAAAGACTTCAAAGTATCATGAAGTTTTTATATGACATTGAAATCAAACCTTTTCTGTTTTGTTTACTTGTCGCTGACTTTTCATCTTATGTTACAAGCACGTCTGTGAAATGGACTAATCTTTTCATTCTGTTCCTTTCTTGATTCTGGCTCTCGTCATCCTTATTCCTTATTATAATAAAACCGAGAAATATTTTGTGGATGCTTCTAGAGAAGTTATTTAACAAGATTAGAATTATAACTCGGTGACAGAAGATTTTAGGATTACTCATACAAGAACGAAATACGAAAATAATATTTTTTAAAAAGTCTCTTAACCCTAAAGGTTTAATGTTTGCTCAGTAAAGTGAAGCTGGTCTCAGAATTATTAAATAAATTACTCATGCAAATGAAGTAAAAATTACTGAAGAATATTCAAAAACACAGCGAGAACACACTTTGGCTAATCGAATTTACTAATCTTATTATTATTATTGTTTCCTTTAATTCCTAGAGGAACATAGGGCTTCAGCTACGCGTCTCCATTGCGTTCGGTTCTCTGCTAGAGTCTTCACCTGGCTCCAAGTCTGCCCACACGCTTTCATCTTCTCTTCACATGACCTCCTCCAAGTCACCCTTGCACTGACGACCAACTCGCCGCTTCCCTTTCGGTTTCCACTCAAGGGCTTGTCTAGTGATGTCACTTGATGATTTCCTCACAGTATGGCCAATCCATCTCCATTTCTTCCTGCCTATTTGTTTCACAATCAGTTCCTGGTTGGTTCGCTCCCAGAGATCTCTGTTGCTGATCTTTTCTGGCCGGCCATCTGATCTTGAGTATTGAGCGAAGACAACTGTTGATGAAGGTCTGTAGTTTGTTTGAGATGCTCTTTATGACGCACCAAGTCTCTGATCCGTATAGTAAGTAGCACTGACTTCACATTGGAGTTGAAAATCCGGATCTTGTTTTTGATGCTGAGTGCTGTTGACCTCCACACAGACTTGAGAGTAGTGAAAGCTTGTCTTGCTTTTCCGATTCTTGTTTTGATATCCTCGTCAGTTCCGTCCACCTGTAGTTGAAACGATGCTTCCCAGGTGGGTAGGTAAAAGAGGTTGTTTCTTTCAGGTTCCTTCCATTTATGCTGATTGTTGTCTGTT